GGGAGAGGAGGTTTGGAAGCCATGTAATCGGGGGCCTTCCGCGGTGTGTGTGTATTTGTGGTACTTTGTGGGTCCCCCGGAGGTCTCGGGACGGGAGTCCGGAGTTCGGCGGTCAGCGAGGTACGACAGCAGTTGAGCAACTATCAACTGAAATTTCTCACATCCCTAGCAGCCCTAGCTAAAAGTCTTCTTACATACATATATACACACGTATGCACACACACATACACACATACACACGTTTCCCCCCGGTCACCCCGCCGCTGCGCTCAATATGCTGACGTAAACAAACACATACACATGCACACATACACACGTGTATGAGGAGTCAGGCATCAACGGTCTGAGTCGGCGCGTGGAGCTGCCCGGGGGCCGAGGACTCGCTCTGGGAGCCGAGCGGCCGACAAGTGGCGTATGCGGAGACCCCATCAGGGGGGCAGGACTGGACTTTGTACGGCAGGCTCGACAGGTATGTGCCGTACAGTCGAACATGTACGAACATTTAGGAGCGTGTTGGCTGTGATCTAGACGCGTGAATGTGTCACGCGAGAAGGATACTTAGCGGTTACCTGAGTTGAGTTCATGTGAGATAAATTAATCTGATTAAGCGGAGGGGCGGACGAGGGGATATAGGGGTTGGGATCGGCGTCACCTTATCTCCTTCGCTGTATAACTTCTACCGGCAGATGTGTGTGTCTCTGTGTGTGTGTGTGTGTCTCTGTGTGTGTGTGTGTGTCTCTGTGTGTTTGTGTGTGTGTGTGTTTGTGTGTGTGTGTCGGCAGATGTGTGTGTCTGTGGCTGCGCATGTATAGTATGCCAGCAGTACAGTCTCGAGGCGATGTGTGCACCGTCATGTACGTCCACACACGCGCTCTCTCTAACCTGCTGCTGCATGTGCGTATATCGCGGCGTGTCCATTCCCCATTCCCAGAAACGACTGGGGAGCGTGATGACGGCCTGGAGGCGAAAGTATCACTTTAATATCTGTATAGCCTGGATCTTCCTTCATCTGCACGTAACTGCACAACACATAATATACTCCTCACATCCCGCGGCGCTGAAAAAGACTACGACGACCGGCATCTATTAGGCAACACAAAGGGGATGGGCGGCGTATCACCATTGTAGGTGGGCCCCACCCTCGGTTCGATCCAGCGCCTGCTTGCGGACATCAGGCCAGAACGGCGGCTACTAGGATAGTGGACACAGCGCGCCTGGCTACTGCACTAGTAGAATGCCGCGGGTGGTGACACGTCAGCGCCGCGGCTACTAGGATAGTGGACACAGCGCGCCTGGCTACTGCACTAGTAGAATGCCGCGGGTGGTGACACGTCAGCGCCGCGGCTACTAGGATAGTGGACACAGGGCGCCTGGCTACGGCACTAGTAGAATGCCGCGGGTGGTGACACGTCAGCGCCGCGGCTACTAGGATAGTGGACACAGCGCGCCTGGCTACTGCACTAGTAGGATGCCGCGGCTGGTGACACGTCAGCGCCGCGGCTACTAGGATAGTGGACACAGGGCGCCTGGCTACTGCACTAGTAGAATGCCGCGGGTGGTGACACGTCAGCGCCGCGGCTACTAGGATAGTGGACACAGCGCGCCTGGCTACTGCACTAGTAGAATGCCGCGGGTGGTGACACGTCAGCGCCGCGGCTACTAGGATAGTGGACACAGCGCGCCTGGCTACTGCACTAGTAGAATGCCGCGGGTGGCGACACGTCAGCGCCACGGCTACTAGGATAGTGGACACAGGGCGCCTGGCTACGGCACTAGTAGAATGCCGCGGGTGGTGACACGTCAGCGCCGCGGCTACTAGCTTAGTGGACACAGGGCGCCTGGCTACTGCACTAGTAGAATGCCGCGGGTGGTGACACGTCAGCGCCGCGGCTACTAGGTTAGTGGACCCAGGGCGCCTGGCTACTGCACTAGTAGAATGCCGCGGGTGGTGACACGTCAGCGCCGCGGCTACTAGGATAGTGGACACAGCGCGCCTGGCTACTGCACTAGTAGAATGCCGCGGGTGGTGACACGTCAGCGCCGCGGCTACTAGGATAGTGGACACAGCGCGCCTGGCTACTGCACTAGTAGAATGCCGCGGGTGGTGACACGTCAGCGTCGCGGCTACTAGGATAGTGGACACAGCGCGCCTGGCTACTGCACTAGTAGAATGCCGCGGGTGGTGACACGTCAGCGCCACGGCTACTAGGATAGTGGACACAGCGCGCCTGGCTACTGCACTAGTAGAATGCCTCGGCTGGTGACACGTCAGCGCCGCGGCTACTAGGATAGTGGACACAGCGCGCCTGGCTACTGCACTAGTAGAATGCCGCGGGTGGTGACACGTCAGCGCCGCGGCTACTAGGATAGTGGACACAGCGCGCCTGGCTACTGCACTAGTAGAATGCCGCGGGTGGTGACACGTCAGCGCCGCGGCTACTAGGATAGTGGACACAGCGCGCCTGGCTACTGCACTAGTAGAATGCCGCGGGTGGTGACACGTCAGCACCGCGGCTACTAGCTTAGTAGACACAGCGCGCCTGGCTACTGCACTAGTAGAATGCCGCGGGTGGTGACACGTCAGCGCCGCGGCTACTAGGATAGTGGACACAGCGCGCCTGGCTACTGCACTAGTAGAA